CAATGGTTATTAGTACAGGATAAAAGATTCCACGACACCGGAAGTGCTTTCAGAAAAAAATGCCTCGTAATTACATGGCCTGTGTTTTATTCACATTAAACATCATATAACAGTGACAAACTTCGAAATTCTTTGAAGTAAAATTCACTGATAATCCTGCCATGACTCCTGCATTTGCCTCCAGCATAGGTGAAGGTCAACACAACTGGAGGTTTATGGACTCTCCTGTTTACTTATTTTGCCTGAATCTTCGTGTTAATGGTGGTGGCGACTGAGTGTTTAAATAGATTTTCCTTTGCTTTCTCAAGACAAAAGATTTTGAATATCTATTTTATCATTGCTATGCGTGTATGACTACGTGCGTTCGTGCAAGGTCTATATAAGTACTTATATAGACCTTGTGTGTGTGTAAATATGTGGTATATGTCTATGTATTTGTATATATGAATGCATGCATGTCTATGAAGGTATATATATATGTATGCTTGTATGCCTATCTATTTATCTATCTATCTATCTATATGTGGGGGTGCGCATATATAACACACATACATATATGTATATACATATGTAGATGTATTATACACACATACATATTTGCATTTGTATTTATATGTACATTTATTACATGCATGCATACATGTCCACACACATACATATATGTATTGTATATATGTATTATGTATATGTTATATATAATATATATATATCCTATATATCCGTGTGTATATATATGTATATATATACACATACATATATAAACGTACTTTATAGTGTTTTTGTCCGAAATAAAGATTATTATCATTATCATAAAAAACAACAAACATATCTTGTACACATTCACACACACGCGCTCTCTCTCTCTCTCTCTCTCTCTCTCTCTCTCTCTCTCTCTCTCTCTCTCTCTCTCTCTCTCTCTCTCTCTCTCTCACTTACTCACTCACATACATGTATAGAAATGTGTGTGCAGATATATATACGTGTGTGTGTGTGTGTGTGTGTGTGTGTAGCTACACAAAAAAAACTGTCGTTAGAAAATTATGCTAAACATTATGCTAACACAAACGACGAAATCGTTAACGCTAGGAAACTGTTGGTACCCCTGATTTTCCAACTACTTGTGGTAAATCACGAATCAAGAGGCTATGAATTCGCAGGTAATTTATAATCGGGTTTAATACTCTGTCACTAATCAATTAGCTTTCTTATGCTGGGTCAATCGGCATAACAGAAGAGAAGCCATGCCAAAACAGTTCAAGCGTCGAGACATAGACGCCACTAACTCGGCTGTCAACGCACGCCTTCCTCTCAGCATAGACGTTTCTTGATTATGAGTGTGGTCTTTATACATGTATTTTGACATGGCTGCCCACGCGTTTTCCGTTGTGTTCGAGATCCGGAGATCTGGGTATGACAAATGTCGGGATGTTCACGAAACCAGTCTTGGACAACGCGGCTGGTATGGGTGGGGCTGTTGCCCTGAACAAGATACAAGGGATCCGTTTCAGGAAACACCATAGCCCTAACTGTTGAGAGGAAAATCTCAAAGATTTTTACAAATCTACTGTAAGTAAATCAGACAGAACCGGCATCCCCCCCCCCCCCCCCCCCCGACACCACTTGCATCCCGCTCCCCCTCCTAACATAAGTGCCTCGGCCACGAAGAACGTATATATATATATATATATATATATATATATATATATATATATATATATATATATATATATATATATATATATATTATATGTATATATATATTCATATATTGATTCATATATTTATTTAGACATATATAAATACATACATGTATATGTAAATATATACATAGATACTTTGTAAATGAAATCCCAGAGCGGAGGGAGTCTACTGCTGGCCTTTGCTTCGCTCTCCCTCCGGCTTCTCTCACGCGCCCTCTGACCTGCCCGCGGTTTCGGTACCACGAATGAATTACCCTCATCCGGCTGGCAGGCGTGCAGTGTACCTTTTGCGCGAAATCTTGGCAGGCTGGCGCGCTGCGATCCCTGCGCCAAGAGGGTGAGTCCCACGGGAGGGCGTGTGGCAGGCTCTCGGGGGGACGCGAGCCGACAGGAGCGGCGGAAGGGCTTTGGGGCTGGCTTTTGGCTTGGCTTCTCCAGGATATTTTTACTATATCATTTTCTTGACTATTGTTCAGAAGCCGCTTGTGTGAAAGAAATCCTTCGGCATTAGGGAATTTATGGCTTGACAGCATCAGAACTCTTTTTCCTAATCCCACCCATAACAGACAGAATCCAGAGAGTTCCAGGACCAAGCGTTTCCTCGTAGGTCTCAAGTGCCTGGTCTTCTGAGTGAGCCTTGGGAGGAGGGAGCTGCTTGGGACACTCGGCATGTGTCCCTTTCCGCGCGTTAGGATTGCTTGCTGTGTGGCTGAGCGGCATCGCGACAACACTCGACACCCAAGCGTGTTTATGTTTCCTATTTTCTCGTCGGCCTACAGGTTTTGCTGTAACATTCACATTTGGATGCTTGCTTTGTTAGCTTTCTTGTATTCTGAAACATGAACCAATAATGCGATAATAGAAATAATCGAAACACGTCTCTTCGTCTCCTTATAGTACTCCTCACTATATCATCGTCTTCCTCATGCGCCGTCAATCATGGCAAGTTGGGTAAACTTTGTTATCTGCCGCGAGCGGGAGTCGTCTTGGTTTCCACAGCGGCCGTGGCTGCGTGTGTGGCGCGGGTGTGAAGCGGAGTGCCTGCTTTCAGTGCAAATCTCTGGCCCCGAAGTTAGTAGAAGCCTGTTATGGGAGTAGGAAGTTTGTTAGAAATGCGACAGCCACGATTGTAGGATGATTGTCATTCTAGGGAAATGTGATTGCAGTAGATGCTGTATATACTCTATCAATGCTGGCATTCGATTCTTGTGTTTGTTTTTTATGCTCGCAAATGCCAGAGCGGCGCAGTTATGGATGATTGAATCACCGCCTCCGCAGGGAGTCCAACCACAAGTAGGTCCAGGTGCGGGCCCGCGGGTGGGCCGCTACAAGCTACCAGGCGGGAATCAACAATAGCGTAATCTGCCGACTGTAACTGTTGGTTATTCATTTAAGGAGGGGGGGGGGGTAAAGCAGTTGATAGTGCATATTCCTTAAGTTACACGTACAATTATATTATTAAGTGCTTCTTGATCAGCAACACCTCTATGGTCACACCTGTATATTTGGATCTTTGATGTGTCTGCCGTATAGCAGCAGACTTGAAGCTCTCCAGCTCGGCTGATTCCACCAATAAGACCTTGCCCGTCTAGCCACACAGGTGCCCTGCGGGGACCATGTTTATTCATATGAAGCTGAAGTCTTTTTTCTGACTTTTTGTCATGGACTTTTTGTGTTGGTTATACCCGGCATTGCTCAATTTAGCCTCCTGGGCGCCGGAACCAAGGCCACTTGTTCCCACTCCCAAGAATTACCGAGATCACTGGTTTCAGTTTCGCCTTTCTTTCTCTTTGGAAGTGAAGTGTGTATATATCTAGCAAACAAAAAGTAAGACAAAAATGTGATTTACCGCTATGACATGGAGATTGAGTATATAATGCAGATCACCGCTGGGCTGCGAAGGTCAGAAAAGAATAGCATTTCGAGAGCAGCTCATCGGATTTTTAAGAGACTCGTTTGCTTTTCCCTCCTGGAATGTTAGTCTACCTTTCAGTGGACTCTCCTGGTATTGAAACGGCCATGCCCGTAATGTATGTCGCCGAGGTTACGAAACTCGCAATGTGATAAGTGGCGTTGCCTCTCAGTCTATTAAATCCCATGTTCACGCACAGGCGAGTTGGGCAGACACGATGAATGAATTTGTCTGTTGCGGCGGGAAAGTAACGGCGGGTTTTCGAATGAGAAGCAGGCCCTGGGAGGGGGCTGGGCGGGGACTTCGAAAGCAAACCTTGCACGCACGCACACACACACACACACACACACACACACACACACACACACACACACACACACACACACACACACACACACACACATACACACACACGCACACGCACACGCACACACACACACACACACACACACACACACACACACACATATGTGCGTGTGTGTGTGTGTGTATATTCATACACGTATACGTAAGTTTAGTTTTGCTTCCACTCTTGACCGAAAAAGTGCTAACTATCTGATTCAGCGTAGAAATCTCTCGCGTTATTTTCAAGGTCTTTTTTATTAATAATCTCAGCTGATTATCGATCACTGAGTAATGTTAACATCCGCATTT